TACGTAACACAAATCGAATTTTGGTTTATACTTGCAACTTATGACAAGTTTTTATTCAGGACATAGCGTCAGTTTTGATTTCGAGGAACCCACTTTGAAACTAATAATGCTTGGAGATAGCTTGAATGAATAATGAAGAAAAACTTTAATATACGTTTAACATAACAGCAAATGTACAACGTTTCGACAAGGTTTTGTCCTGATGATGTCAAAACTTTGTCGAAACGTTGTACATTTGCTGTTATGTTAAACTTATATTAAAGTTTTTCTTCATTACCCATTCAAGCCATCCCCAAGCATTAATATTGTTGCGTCAGCGAGGTCACGTGACTAGTATCACGCCACTCCTTCTCTCGAACCTTCGTGAACGCCCTAGCATTTACTAGATTGGGGGTAGTATGGTATATATAAGATGGTCACAGCGTGACGGGACAACATTGTAGTGAGTAATTGAACTGCAGTCAGAGAGTATTATTGAAGTTGAGCCCGTTCGTTGTTATAGCGCGACTGTTGAAAATAAGTGTATCGGTAAAGTTATATTCAGAAAGAATAAACCAGTTTTATTAAGAAAGGACTTGTGTCGCTAAAGTTTCGTGGGAACGAAGTTACGGAAAATCAACAAACGAACGGAGACGTAACAATATAATCAATTTAGCCTATAATTATAAGCACGTGCCAATTAAACGTCCTCTTAGCCGTCTTTTAAACACGAAATACGCCGTCACTAATACCCTTCTGTTAGATTCGACGAGTAAGAAACAATTATCTGAGAAAATATGATTTAGAAATAAGAATTGTCCGGTTTATGTAGAATTTTAAAAAAGGGTTAAATTTTTCTTTCAATCACTCATAACGGATGTTCTTTCCCCTAACTTTGAGCAGTGTATTTATACGTCAGTGATTTTATTTTTATTACAGAAAAAAATATACGCGGATGTACAAAGTTTCTTAATTTCATTTTAAAATATTATTTGATAACTAGTTTTTTTCTCGAAAATACCATTAAAATGCATTTTTGTGTTGTGATAAAGCGTTACAGATGACTTTTGAATTTGACAATTTATAGATATTCTTAATAATGAGCAAAATTTCATATTTGAAGATTGTGTATTTTATTTACGGTAATGTTATCAAAGCATGTATGAAACTTCTTAGAAGAGAAGCACTTAGAATTAAAAAGACTTAGTTAGGTAAGTCACTGAAACAATTACTGGTGTAAGTAAAGCTTTTTCAGTTATTCATTGTTACTCACTAGACTCATCATGAAATTTTAGCTTCGTTTTGGCTGTTTTGCTTAATGTGTGAATTTTGTGAGAAACCGATAAAGCCACAATAATGTTTTGATGACTGTGAACATAAAGCATTGTGTGATAACGTGTTTAAGAAATTAACTTGTACAATATCCTGGATTTCATAGCTCTTATAATTCCGACTCTAGCACACGTCATAGTCTAAAGAGGCAAATCTTGCAAAAATATTTAAGGCAAGGTTATAAGTTAGAAATATATATATCTGTAATATACAAACTCACCATGACCTCAGTATCAGTAAAATCCACAGTTCTTGGTTAAGTGAGGACTACATAAAACAAAAAGGTCAAGTTAACATTCTGTTTCTGGCACAAAAATGTGACGAACCTGGACTGGTAGAACCAAGCTCTTGAAAATCCACGGAGTAAGATGTTTGTGCTGTCGATTTTTACCATCATAAACGTGGTTCTCCGTTAAATATATTTTTGTTTTTGCTACTTATATATATATATCCCCCAGATAAGATGTAAATTTGAACTGAAATCTTTACGATATATTCGCTGTAACAATAATCCTCTTCTGACTTTAACTGTGTTTTAACATTTCACTGTGTATTTATACAGTTCCTTTGCAACAAAAACTTCTTCACATGCTTACAGAAAATTCAAATATTTTACACAGAAAATGGTTGTCGGGTTTTTGTTGTTCCCAATAACATAGTCAGTCAGTTACTTTTCTATAAAACTGTCTCGCGAAAACAATACCAACGGTTATACAGTCATAACTTCACAACAGTGTTTATTATTGATTTCCTGAATGATTTCTATAAGGTACAGACGTTGAGAACGCTTTGATAAATAACATGTATGTATATGTATGTAATAATAATAATACATATGAATTTATATACAACAATAAAAGTGAATGTGATCTTAAAGCTGTTGTCATGATATTGTGTGTAAAAATCAACACCTCTGTGACCACACCACATTCACAACATCTTGTTTACTACACTTGTTTGATACAATGTACACAATCTGTTTCTTTGGTTTGTTAACAGCGACATAAAATGCACTTGTCTGTCAAAAATTCATTTCAATAATGACACTAGATAAGACATTTTTTTCAACATTTTCAAAATGCAGACAGGGTTTATCATTGAAAATAAATGCATCCTGTAATGTTATCAAAGCAGTAGCTTGTGTATGTATGAAACTTCTTACAAGAGAAGCACTAAGGATTAAAACGACAAGTTAGGTAAGTCACTGTCAAAACGCCAAGCCAACAACAAACTTATTGTGAAGCATGAAACAATTATTGGTGTAAGTAAAGCTTTTTCAGTTATTCATTGTTACTCACTAGACCCATCATGAAATTTTAGCTTCGTTTTGGCTGTTTGAGCAGGTATCATTCGCTGTACGTCTACCAAATCCAGACATTCGTACACTTGTCTAGAGTAATATTTTCAGTCACATAATTATGTAAGACATAACAAGTATCCAAATCCCCTGACACATCGATTAAATAAAATCTTATAGTATAGTATAGTCGTTTGATGCGAAGATAAAATGAAGAAAACCATAACGTTGCAAAACATTATAACTGTCTGGGCTATAAAAACGAACTGTGACAGTAAAAACATTCTCACTATAAGTAATTAAAACTAAAATATATAATTCCAGTATAGGTTTACGTAGGAATTTAAAAGATAAATCAATTACACCGACATTAAGTTTGTACAAGGGGACGGTAGTAGTCTCTTATAAAGTATTTGAATCAGTTGAAGTCACACTATTGGAGCTTCTTCTGACGCTACTTCGACAACAATCCGTCGGAGTTTTAAGCTGACGCCACTTCCCAAAATTATTATGAATACAAATTAGCTTCGCACTCACCACATCTCACACAGTGTCGGATTTGTGGCTAGTGGTAAATAGAATATACGGCACGTCACTACACGGGTTCAGAAAATACAGGTCTCATGAGATGCACCGAGCAGGTAATCTAAAACAAGAGAAACACAGGGATTTTGACTTTAAAAAAAAGCTGCCTCCTGAAGCCCTCAACAAATAATAATAATAATAAACAAATCATCTTTAGTAGTAAAAAGTTCAATGTCAAAAAATAAAAACTGTGTTCCTACTAGCCTTTTAAATAAATTGAACATGACACTACTACTACTAATATTTACCTACTAATGTAGTAAAATATCTGCAACATCTGAAAGTCCTCTCATACTACCTTTAACATTGACAACTTTTATTTTATAACAGCAGAAAATACGATTTTCTTTTATTCTCCCAACAACCCTTACTAAGTGTTATTTTAATAATAAAAAACGTTTATTTAACTTTGCAAGTCTTCATTTGTGCCTGGAAAATGATTTCACACTACCATAACCAATAAAGAGAAGAATGTAATAAGACAGGTAATCAATGTTCTCCTTAAAAGGACACATAAAACTCGTAACAGCCATGATTTGATAAAATACCTTGAGTCACACAATTTCCTTATAATAAGATTAACTCATAAAAGTAGTGATTTACCGTAAGCTTTTCGAACATTTCAATACTTTTTTAAAAGAACGTAACATATTCAGTGACTTCTGACACCATCGTTGAAACTGTAACAACGTAAATCATTTGAACGCGTTTTGGAAAACAGTTTGTTTATATGCTTGTTTTGAATTTCGCGCAAAGCTACACAAGGGCTAGCTGCGCTAGCCGTTCCTAATTTAGCAGTGAAAGACTAGATGAGGGGCAGCTTGTTATCACCACCCATCGCCAACTCTTGGGCTACTTTTTTACCAACGAATAGTAGGATTGACCGTCACATTATAACGTCCCCACGGTTGAAAGAGCGAGCATGTTTGGTGGGACGGGGATTTAAACCAGCGACCCTCAGATTGCGAGTCGAACGCTCTAACCATCTGGCCATGCCAGGCCTTTTGAAAACAGAAATACGTATGCACATCATTAAATTTTAAATATTTTCAATAAACGAGTATTCTCTTTAGATAGACAAGCGTTCCTTGGTAGAACAGCGGTAAGTCTATAGATTTACAATGCTAAAATCAGGGGGTTCTATTCCCCCTACGTGTACACGGCAGAGAGCCCGATGTGGCTTTGCTATAAAACACACACTCATAGCCAAGTAACTAGTTAGTCTAATCATAATTACCACTAAAACTGTTTTGTCAATTAATATGTTGAAAAACTCGCTTTTGATATGTAAGTTAAAAGCATCATCCAAAAATGGGTTTTATATTTACAACTCGTTTTTCTGTTTGTTTTACCGATGTATAAAACTTCCTAAGTCTTAGCTTCTACCGTTTACTGCTTCGATATTATTTTATCAGTAAAAAGTATTCAGACTGTTCGCTTCAGAATCTCGCACAAAAGGACTATGTGCGCATAACCGTTCCAACTTTTGAACTGACAGACTAAAGGCAGCTAGTCAACAGCCCCTCCTCCGACTCTTGGGCTAATATTCTTTTATTGAATAGTAGAATGTGTTTGTCGCTCTTATATCGCACCAACTATCCCAACCAAAGTGCAGAGCGTGTTTACCAGGGAATGAGCTGCGAAATTATCTCCTCGGATTATCAGTTGGGAATAGTAACCAATAGGCTACGTCCTGAGAAGGTTAAAAGTCAATGCATAAAAACACACTACATTTTTGTTTGGATAAATATTATTCTTGTATTTTTAACAATTGTGTGTCTAGTCATTTTCATGCTGTAAGTTGTTTTGGGATTTCAGAACTACGTTGTAATAAATATCTTCGTCAAATTTCCTGCTATTTTACAGACCTATCTTGTCACACTAAGGGAAATCAGTTTGACCTGAAAATACCACAAAAGCTTGGTGAAGTAACACAGCATATGGCTGAATGTTCGATTTTTTGTGGATGCGTGTCTTGTCCTTTACTCCAACTATTTAGTCATTATGTTTAAAAAGGATTTGTTCTTGAGGAAATGGAATGCTCCACAATTCAAAGGATTCAAAAGCAAGAGGAAGAGTCTGTCACTGAAGAAAGATGGTTGTCATAGAGAACTGCCAAGCCTAGGAGAAGTCTTCTTTTGACGTAGGACTTTTGTCAATGCTGTGATGATCTATGACTTATTTTTCATTACAGGATGGCCTAACACGCTCTCTTCCTGATGAACAATCTCGAAGCGAGGAAAGCATGGATTAGATGACTCAGTGTCGTAGCAGTAGTCTTTATAGAACTCACAGGCTATTGCCAGTTGGAGTAACCAGATCCCAAATATACTTAAAATTACCTAACAATGGTCAGGAGGTACTCCATTGAAAGACAGAATCTTCAAACAGGAGCTATTTCATTGGCAGGCATCAAATAATGAAGATGGCAAACTAATTGGCACTAGTGAACCTCTCAGAATAGGAGGTATCCTGCAATCATGGATCTTAGAGGAGTTGGCATTCTGGACCAGGGACTGACTGTTTGACAGTTGGAGTCCCTGTGCATGCTTATTATGCTGTATCTACGACATTGAGGAAATATCAGTCAAGTGATGGCTGAGAGTTCATAAGGGAAGTATTCTTGCCATGATCATGCTTCAGGCAGGTAACTGCTTTGAATGACTGGTTTCGATAACAGGCTGCACAATGTCCAATCATAAGTCCAGCCCTAGCCTACATCAAACACTTATTGCATTGCACTGAAGGTTTGACCCACAGGAAAACTGAGCAAACCATCAGATCAAATTCAAAGCTTGAAAGAGGGGTACTAAAGAGAACTTACCCCATTTGTTTGGTAAAGCTTAACCTGCAATGGCTTTAACAGCTCACAAGGATATCCTGATTCACTATTTCGTAAAAGAGCTACTCAGTGAGATGATGAGGGGTATCCTCACCCTTACAAAGGCAATTTCTATCATGACAATAATAACTTTGTACCATTCACAAGAGAGGGAGAAGCCTGCAGTGGATGTACCTTGAACAGACCATCTTACCCAAATACTTACATCATGGAAAACTCAGGCCCAGCTGAGGGTTAACAAACCACTTCCATATCCTGGCACTGCATTGCAACCAAACTAGTATCCAGTGAATGGGCATGGGTATTCTGATGCTCCCATGCTTTTCACTGTACAGCCTATGCTTGTGATGCCTCTGCCTGGACATCATTCTGGAAGGAAACACCAAAGTGGTTGCTTTGGCTGTGTAGTTTAAGTCCATTCTGAGTGAAGTGCACATATTTTGCCAAGTAGCTAGGTTAATGGTTTTGAGCAATGGCTTAGCAGGTGCAGGAGAGTCAACAACAAGCTGTAAATACTGTTGCTACAACTCCAGAAAACTAACAGAGTCCAAGTTGGACCTGGTTACTGACTTGAGGAGTGCAATAGATAGCTTGTACCAAAAGCTTTGGTGGTCAGCCCAACTTTCTCAGAACTAGGTGGATCTTAGTACATCCCAGTAAAAGTACAGGGGCAAGATATGAAGGTTCTGGTTGAAGAGGAACAGCCAGAATACTGATAGATTTTACAGTATATCAGACACTGAGCAAAAACACCATGCAGGACAGTATACATAAATTTCATGCTGCGAATGGAGAGAGGAGTCTCTGATTATGACCAGGGGGCACTGCTTTCAGAATAAAGGTAGTCATTGCCAACCTCATTTATAGCACTGACATCTTTAGGATGTACATACTATGGAGTTATCAGTCAGTTTGCTTGTGCAATGAGTGAACAGTTGTTCCATGGGAGTTATTCAGTGCCAGCCAGACTATACCTTTGAAAAGTGGGTTGCACAAGTATATGTGGGAGGCAAAACCACATTACCCACATGTACACTGTAGTGTTCTGTGGTTCACTAAAGATAAAGTCTAGCATGTCTGTGCCATGTAATATGGTAATATAACCAATGCATAAAATGTAGTTTCTTGTACAAAAACAAGCAGCATTAGCTCAGGCAGTTACATGTTCGAGGATGGATGAATTTCTGGTGCTGTTCTGCAATTATGAGTAATTGGATGTCACCTTCCCAAGGGAATGGTTAGTGGCAAGGTGAGCTACGTGGAATTAGCAGCAACTCAGTGATATTTTGGCTGAATATACCATTTTATTTATCAGACAATATGCCTTATTGGGTGGAACAACAGTAACCCATCATATCATATCATAGATACAGGTGACCGATGTCTGATCAAGCAACCAATGTGTTGGTTTTCCTGTAATACCAAGGATGTAAGAAATGCTAAGATATAGCAGATGAGATATCATTCATTGGTTCTCCCCCAGAGACAGAACAAGGTTACTCATAGTCGTTAACTCCTTCATAAAGTGGGTAAAATCCTATTCATTGATCTATATGTTGGCACAGTCTGTAGCTAATGCACTGGATAGCCCAGTTTACTCAGTGGAAAAATCCACATGGATCAGGATGCTAGTTTTAACAGACAACTATTCTCTAAGTTATGCAAAGTGCTATGCATTGTGAAGATTCACACTTCACTTTATCACCCCAGTCTGATGGTTTAGTAGAATGGCTAATGCATTGTCAAATGTATGCTTGCCAAGTTTGTTAATCCCAGTTGAACTAACTGGGACTAGAACATGATGGGATACCACGACTATGAGCAGAAATCAACAGGTTGATTTTTGAACATGCCCATGTTTGAGTGGGAAATCTTGCTCTTTGTAGACATAATGTAGGTTTTTCTTCTAAAGTGGATGCTCCACAAAAATATATAGTGGTTAGAACCTGCATTAGTTGATGCACACTAATTAGGATGGATAGGCTTGTTGATCACAAGACCAGTTGGACTGATATAGCTTTGTGATATTTACTTTTCAAGACATTGATACTGGATGACAGCTGCTTGATTAACACAGTTAGAACAGCTAATGCCAGTAGGTGTAGTGGCTAGTATATAAACAGTTTACACAAATGATGATAACAACTCAGTTGAAAATGCAATGCAACTTTTGCTTTCAAAACTATCAAGTAATTTTTTGTGGGTAAAGGTCATCCGAG